GTGTGTGTTTTCGCTGTGATAGGTCTTAATATTGCCAGAACTTCATTCTATAGCCCATTCGGAACTTTAAATTCAAACTTTCTGGAAATTTGGCACATCCGGCTGAGTATTTCCACATTCATGAGCAAATGTGATACCGTTCAAGCTAGAAACCGTCAATGATTTATCATTGTTTCACTACAAGCCAACGAGCAGCTCTGTAACGTTTTCATTGGGCAAATTTTGGATTCATCATTTAACAAACAAACAAACAAACAAACAAACACCCCAACAACCCAACAAACAAACAAACAAACACCCCAACAAACAAACAAACAAACAAACAAACAAACAAACAAACAAACAAACAAACAAACACCCCAACAAACAAACAAACAAACAAACAAANCAGAGACCATTTAAAAACGATTATTGGAGTGCACTTTTTATGCACTCAACCCAAATAGGAGAAGAGAAAGGAGAGAGATTGGAGAAAAAAGAGTATGAAGTTTCCATAAAGTATGTCTGAGAAATCGTCTGGATCCATTTGAAGGAATATTCTGATTACAAATTCATTGTAATCACCATAATGTCTCAACACACTTCAGGGAGCATTCCATACGTTTTGATGAAAAAGTCAACATCATTTAGGTTTTTAAAAAGACTGGAAGTTTTCCTTCAAATTCTTCCGTTGAATACGAAAATTGAACAACTAAATGATACTGAAATTTACCGTTACATATTATGAATAAAGGATTATTAGGCTGATTTTCCTTCAACTTTCCAGACATTTTATACCCTTACCCATTAAACATTTAAAATTAGTTTTAAACAGACCTTTAATTTAATACGTTTGCATTTACCGAACCGACAAAGTTCGTTTTAATACCTAAATCTGCTCTCTTTCTAGCTCAGAGCTCGATAAATTGTTAGCATTTTGTTAAAAAATGGTTTCATATTTTAAGAAATTATTTGCCGTCTTTTCAATCAGTAATACGAGACGAATTAAAGTTTGTAGAAAAACTATTCTCGGCAAAAGGACCTAAGAAACACACTCTCTTTATTTAGTAAAACGGATGAAATTTACCACAAAATCAACTTTCTACAGGCTGTGCAAAAAGCAATCTTTGAACAACTTATTTTGGGACTTGGGATTTTTTTTTTACTTTTTGCAGGGAAATCTTTATATTTCATTAAAATAAAACAGTTGCATACATACGTCCTTTTGCCGGGAAAAGTATTTTTGCAGTGATCATGCTTCCTGGCAAAAGGACGTAAGCGCTTACGTCCTTCTTCCAGGCACACAACGAGATGTCATTTATGTTAAGGAGATGTGGGAACTATTGGCTTAAAA